GACAGAGAGAGAGACAGCTAGAGAGGGAACACAAGCAGGGGGAGTGGAGGAGGGAGAAGCAGGCTTCCTGCAGAGCAGGGAGCCCGATGCGGGGCTCGATCCCAGGACCCTGGGATCATGACCTAAGCCGAAGGCAGACGCTTAACCGTCTGAGACACCCAGGCGCCCCCGCACTTAGTACTTTTAGGTGTCTGACTTGCATCCTTCTTAATGGAGAAAATACTCGGTGAAGAAAAGATTTAATTATTCTTGCAAAATGAAGATAGCAATCACTCAGCAATAAAACGTTTTAGTAACTCTGGTTCTCTAGAATGAAGTAATCCTGGCAAGGGGCCCCTAAGGAAAACGGAAGATGAACTCAAGTTTTGCTGTAACCTTCGTCAGAACAGGCAGCCGGGAGGGTCCAGCACTGATCGTCACAGACCCACTGGCCATTCCTTTTACAGCCCTGAAACTAAGGCTCCTTTCAACTATTTGTCAGTTCTGAAGATGGGCAGGGCTCAAACGGAACAGCAGATCAACTCTGTCATCACTTCCAGCCCAAGGGGAACTCCTCCCTTCTGCTGCCAAATCTCAGTTTATTCCCCACATAGGTGTTACTACTTGCACCTTACCTAAGCTACGAGGAATTTTTTTTAATATCCAAATACATTTGTGAAATACATCCAGCTGTGTATTATGAGACACACAATCCAGTCGTATTTGTTACAACATCTGTTCTTTTTTTTTAATCCGTTCTGACACCTCATTGGCACCAAAGGAAGTCACTAGTCTTAGTATTTTCCTAAGCTTTTTTTAAAAGGTTCTTCCCAGCTTTGTACACATCATTTCCAAAACTGTAATTACCAGAGGTTAAGTGTAGAGGGTTGCGAAAATTCACTGTCAGACCAGACTAAGATTGGTGCACGGCGGCTCACCCCCCATCTATGCGGATCTGCAGCGCAGGCGTCCGCGTCATGGGCGTGGCCAGCAAGTCCTATCGCTCAGAATGTAATCAGTCAGAAGGTTCTACTACTCAGAATCCACCTCAAGGACTGTGAGTGAAGAAGCCTCACTGTTGAGCAATACATCCTGGAACCCTGAAACAGGGCACACCACCTGACACATATACCATGGCAAGGGGGACACAGAGGTGGCCAGAAGCCTGGGGCTCATAGAACAGGGACGGCTCGACTGCTACTCTTACTTCTTGGGTCTTTTCCCCATTCTCACACCAGACCATAACTTATTCCTACTGAGGCTAGCTGTCTAACTGCATGAAGTTAAAATAAAAGCAAGCTCCACCTCATAATTGGGAAGACTAATATGATTTTACAAACCATGTTTGATATGTTACATTTTAAAATGCCAAATGAGGGGCGCCTGGGTGGCTCAGTCCGTTAAGTGGCTGCCTTTGGCTCAGGTCATGATCTCGGGGTCCTGGGATCGTTGAGCTCCCTGCTCAGTGGGGAGCCTTCTCCCTCTCACTCTGCCCCTCCCCCTGCTTTTGCTCTCTCTCGCGCTCACTCTCTCTCAAATAAACAAAATCTTTAAAAGAAAAACTTCTTTAAAATGTCCTCCCCCCTTTCTTTTCTGGTAACCAACCAGTCAGTCCCTAAAACCTGCTAACTGGTTCTGGAAATGTTTCCATATTTTTCCTTTGTTTTCCTTTTGGTATGGATCCAGTCCAGGTCTTTAAGAATGTTCTGTCTAAATTTCTGAACTGTGCTCACAGGTCCTCCTGATGCCAGTCTCTCCCAGCTTGGAGACATAATGGACCAAAAGCCCTTAAACAACTTGCTCACTGTTCTGTTCCAGAATCTGTAAGCATCCCTGCCTGCTGCATCAGTGTTAAACTTCTTCCCTGGGCTTTCAGGGTCAGGCATAATAGTATCCGAATCAACATATCCAACCTTTTCACTTCGGGTTTTTTTTCTCCCCTCCAACATACCTATTTAACCCATTCAATGTCTCCAATATACCTATGGCTTATTGAAATAGCATTTCCTTTCCACTGGATCCTTCTGGTGGGCATTTAAACAAGATTAACTCTCTTCAATTAAAAAAAAAAAATCGGGGGTCACCTGACTGGCTCAGTTGGTAGAGCATGTGACTCTTGATCCTGCGGTTGTGAGTTCGAACCCCACGTTGGCTGTAGAGATTGTTTAGAAATAAGATCTTTTAAAGAAAGAAATCTGGAGTCCACATCATCCTCCAGCTAATATCTGATTAGCTTCCCTACCCCTGTCATTTACTCCTCTACCCACTGCCATTACTCAACCAAAACCCTGTCTGCTGAGGCCACTGACGACCTCCATGTGGGCCAACACAACAGACATCATCAATCCTCTCAGCAGAGCTGGTACAATTCCTTCCTTTCTGAAGCATGCTTCTGATGTCCCACTCTCCTAGTTTTTCTCTTAGCTCAGCAGCGGTCCTCTATCTGTCTCTCTCCTTTGCTGGCTCCTCCTTCTCTTTCTGCTTCTACTGGTCAGAAGCTTCAGAGCTAGGTCCTGGGCCTTTTTTCTTTTCTTATTACAAATTATTTTCCTGGTGATTCTACTCCATCTCATGATCTTAAAATACCACCTATATACTGATGACTCCCTAATTAACTCTCTTACATGGACCTCCCATCTGAGCAACAGATCTGAATATCAAACTACTTACTTGATAAGCATAATCGAATTATAACAAAAGTTACCTCTAGTTTAGATCAAAGGCATAAGGGTAGACTAAGAAAGAGTGAACAGAATGTGCAAAAGGCCTGGAGTGCAGAGAGCCCTGGCAAGGAGGGGGCTGATGAGGAAGAAGGCTCATTTACAGAGGGTTCTCAAGGAAGGCCTCACTGACAGAGCTTGAGATTCAAGGTGATATACACCCATTAAAACAAGGCCATGATACTTGGAAGAAAGAAAAAGACAGCACAAGAAAAAGCTCTCAAATTTTTTAAATACTTTTTTTTTAAAATTAAAAGATTCAACAGAAGGAATGGAATGCAAAATCAAGGAACTCTCCCAATATGTAGGGAAAAAAATAAAAACAAGATGGAAATAGAAAAGATAAACACTCAGGGCCAATCCAAAAGATCAATCAATTAACAGAAGATCCAGAAATAGGAGCGCCTGGATGGCTCAGTTGGTTAAGCATCTGACTCTTGATTTCAGCTCAGGTCATGATCTCAGGGTTGTGATATCGAGCCCTGAGTCCTATTCTGCGCTCAGCTCAGAGTCTGCTTGAGATTCTCTCTCTGCCCCTCTCCCTGCATGCA